TCCCTTTTTTCTTTTTTCCCCGGTTCGTTGTACTGTTTCACACCTTCTGCCTGCTGTAGGTGTTTGATGAGAGATTGTGTGAGTGATGGGAGAAAAGATGAAAGGACTTAAAGTTTCAGAAATTCCTGGGAGGCACTATGGAGCTAAAGTCTCTGTATCTGTTTGCTTATATACTTTCCCAATAGAGAGAGATACCAAATATAGACTTGAACTCAAATCTGCAATCCATTCTCTTGGGGCTAACTCATGCATGAAACTCAGACAGTCAAGAATCTGCATGCAAGGCAGGAGACCTGGGTCCGATCCCCGGGTGGGGAAGATCCTCTGGAGGAGAGCATGACAGCCCACTCCAATATTCCTGCCTGGAGAATCCCATGGACAGAGAAGCCTGGTGGGCTACAGTCCATGGGGTGGCAAAGAGTCAGACACGCCTGAGCAACAGAGCACTCCCACATGCCTGGAGGTCCTGTTTTTAGTTTTTTGAGGAACATCCGTGTTGTTTTCCATGGTGACTGCACCAATTTACACTCTCACCAACAGTGCACAAAGGTTCCCTCTTCTCCGTATCATTGCCGATACTCGCTGGCCCTTGTCTTTTTGACAGTAGCTACCCTAACAGGTGTGAAGTGATAGCTCGCTGTGGGTTTTGCGTTTCTCTGATGATCTGGGATTTTGAGCCGCTTTTCATGTACCCACTGGCTTCCAATGACTATTTTTGATCATCTATCACATGCCAGGTGTTATGATCAGTTGTGAGCATCTACTAAACAAGAAAGCTGAGACATAATAGTCCCGGGAGCTCACAGAGAAGTGGAGACGAAGACAACAAGCAACGAAACAACGTAGAGGGACAGATTCTGACCATCACGCGAAGGCAACACACGATTCTCAAAGGCAGTTGATAATAGAATTTGACTCCACTTTGCAAGTTTGACCATGGACAGCATTCAAGGGCCACAGTTCTTCCTCCCCTGCTCTGCATCTGAACAAACGAATAAGAATTTGAGGTGCTCCTTCATTTAATGTTGGTGCGTGCTAAGCCTCTTCAGTGTCTGACTCTGGGTGACCCCGTGGACTGTAGCCCACCAGGCTCCTCCGTCCATGGGGTTTTTCAGGCGAGAATACTGGAGTGGGTTGCCATTTCCTCCTCCAGGGGAATCCTCCTGACCCATGGATCAAACCTGTGTCTCCTGCATTCCAGGAAGATTCTTCACCCTCTGAGCCACTGGGGAAACCCTAGCTTCCCAGTCAGTCAGTCAGTCAGCTCAGTCATGTCTGACTCTTTGTGACCCCATGGACTGCAGCACCCCAGGCCTCCCTGTCCATCACCAACTCTCGGGGCTTACTCAAACTCATGTCCATCGAGCCACTGAGGCCATCCAACCATCTCATCCTCTGTCATCCCCTTCTCCTCCTGCCTTCAATCTTTCCCAGCATCAGGGTCTTTTCCATTGGGTCAGTTCTTTGCATCAGGTGGCCAAAGTATTGGAGCTTCAGTATCAGTCCTTCCAGTGAATATTCAGGATTTATTTCCTTTAGGATTAACTGGTTTGATCTCCTTGCTGTCCAAGGGACTCTCAAGAGTCTTCTCCAAATCCACAGTTCAAAAGCATCAATTCTTCAGTGCTCAGCTTTCTTTATGGTCCAACCCTCACATCCACACATGACTATTGGAAAAACCGTAGCTTTGACTAGATGGACATTTGTTGGCAAAGTAATGCCTCTGTTTTTAATAAGCTGTCTAGGTTGGTCATATCTTTTCTTCCAAGGAGCAAGTGTCTTCTAATTCCATGGCTGCAGTCAGCATCTGAAGTGATTTTGGAGCCCGAGAAAATAAAGTCTGTCACTGTTTCCATTGTTTTCCCTTCTCTTTGCCATGAAGTGATGGGACCGGATGCCATGATCTTAGTTTTTTGAATTTTGAGTTTTAAGCCAGCTTTTTCCACTCTCCTCTTTCACTTTTATCAAGAGGCTCTTTAGTTCCTCTTCGCTTTCTGCCATAAGGGTGGTGTCATCTGCATATCTGAGGTTATTAATATTTCTCCTGGCAATCTTGATTCCAGCTTGTGCTTCTTCCAGCCCAGCGTTTCTCATGATGTACTCTGCATATAAGTTAAACAAGCAGGGTGACAATAAACAACCTTGACATACTCCTTTTCCTATTTGGAACCAGTCTGTTGCTCCATAATCAGTTCTAACTGCTGATTCCTGACCTGCATACAGGTTTCTCAAGAGGCAGGTCAGGTGGTTTGGTATTCCCATCCATCTCTTTCAGAATTTTCCACAGTTTGTTGTGATCCACACAGTCAAAGGCTTTGGTGTAGTCAATGAAGCAGAAGTAGATGCTTTTCTGGAACTCTCTTGCTTGTTCTATGATCCAATGGATGTTGGCAATTTGATCTCTGATTCCTCTGCCTTTTCTCAACGCAGCTTGAACATCTGAAAATTCTTGGTTCGTGTACTGTTGAAGCTTCACTTGGAGAATTTTAAGCATTACTTTGCTAGCATGTGAGATGATGAGATGAAGGCAATTGTGTGGTAGTTTGAATATTTTGGGGGCATTGCCTTTCTTTGGGACTGGAATGAAAACTGACCTTTCCCAGTCCTGTGGCCACTGCTGAGTTTTCCAAATTTGCTGGCATATTGAGTGCAGCACCTTCACAGCATCATCTTTTAGGACTTGGAAACAGCTAAGCTGGAATTTCATCACCTCCAGCTTCCCACTAGCAGTCTCTTTGTATCTCAGTGAAACCCTCCCGATTCGCTCCACCCTCTCCTCCCCTCGCTTTGAGCCCACAAGTCTGTTCTTCATGTCTCTGTCTCCATTCCGTCCCTGCAAATAGGCTCCTCGGCACTATTTTCTATTAGCAGATTCCGTACATACGCACTAATACGCGGCATTTGTTTTTCTCCCTCTGATCGACTCCACTCTCTATCACAGCCTCTAGGTTTCAGTCTGGGAGGGCACGGGTGTTTGTTTTCCTCATCTTTGAAAATTATGACATTCTTTTCCATTTCTTTTTACCTCTATTTTAATCTGCTTCATCTGGTTGAATGTGGCGATGTGTGTGACCCCAAAAAGTCTGATACAAAAACAAAGCATCACTTCTGTAATTATTTTCTAATTATCCCATCAACAGTAAAGGTCACCTGGTGGGTGAGCCGAGACAGGTTAGGAGAGCGCAAGGTGCTGAAGTGTGAGATGAGGTTGAAGATGGAGCACAGCGGGAGCTGAAGAGCCGGAGACCATGGCTCCAAAGCCCGGCTCTGCCCATTCCTCCATCTCCTTAGGTGAAAGCCAGAGACTTTAATAGTCACTCCCCACTCTGGTGGTCCTATTGTAATACATAAATGTATCAAATCAACACACCATGCACCGTGTTATGTTATTCATATACTCAGTTTTTATGAACAAAATTTTGATTGAAACTTTATTAGAGTTTTATTGCAATAGTGTTTTACATCTTTCTGTATGTCTGTTAGGTCTGTTTTGGTTTTGTGTTTGCATGCATGTATGTGTGTTTACACACATAAAATGTAGTGACATTACACTCAGGGTAGCAATAGAAATGCAGACACAGTGAACAGACTTGTTGACACAGTGGGGGAAGGAGAGGATAGGGTGACCTGGGAAAGCAGCATGGAAGCATGGACATCACCATATGGAAAACAGACAGCCAAAATAGAGAGCCAGCGGGAACCTGCCGTCTGACGCAGGGAGCTCACTCCCGGGGATCTGCGACAACCTCGAGGGGTGGGAGGGGTGTGATGGCATGGGAGGTGGGAGGGAGGGTCAAGAGGGAGGGGGCATGTGTACACCTGTGGCTGATTCATGGGGATGTACGGCAGGAACCAATATAACATTGTACATCAACTAGCCTCCAGTTAAAAATAAATGAATTTTGTAAAAGTGACATCACACCATATACACAAATATAAAATATATACTATAAAAGTATATGTATATAATTTTATAACTTGATTCTTTTTCATTTAACAATGTATTAAAAGGATTTTCTCATGTTATCAGACATCCTATGAAGCCTGTTTTTTAAGGGCTGCATATTATACCACTTGGATGGGCCCTAATTTACGTGAGTTATCACCCAATATTGCTTGTTTAGGTGGTTTTCAAATTTTTCCTATGCTATAAATAGAACCCAAATATCAATGTTTGAATGAAGTGAAACTATTTTGCATGGCGTGAATACTAATGGTGAATACATGTCATTTGATATTTGTCGAAACTCATAACACGGTACAGCTCCGAGCGTGAACGCGCGTGTGAACCACGGGCTCTGAGTGATCGTGGCGTCTCAGTGCACTGGCGAGCCCGGACTCCATGTGCTGGAGTGTGGTACGCATGGTGGGGTGGTCGTGTGTGTGGAGGTCTGTGGGTATATGGAAATTCTCAGTACTTTCCACTCAATTTTGCTGTGATCCCAAAATTGCCCCAAAAAATGAAGTCTATTTATATATACACACACAACAGGGATTTTGGTAGAAACTTCCTGGTAGAGTTGTTGTGAGAATTAAAAGCAATATTTCAAGCAAAGTTCTGCATAAGCATTCAATAAATATTAAATAACAAAACTTGTTTTTAATAATCATTCTGTTACTTTTGAAAAGAATTGGGAGAGACCAGGAGAGTGTTAAAAGGCAGTCTCTAAAACTAACTGGGCCAGGTTCCCCCAGATCTAGCTGTCATCCTAATACTCAAAGGTCTCCACGGTAATTTAAAAATGAAGCTGGAGAGAGAGAGGTTATTTCAAAATGTTTTCTATAAAGTAGTGATATGATTGGGCACACAAAGGTTTCCTTTAGGAATGTTGTTATGCTTTCTATAATTTACTTTTAAACTAGGGTAAAGTACCTAGCTAAGCAGAAAAGGACTCGCAAAGTCAGATATGTGAATAGTGTCTGTGGCAGAACGGTAACATGCATGGTACACAGTTGCTTTGCAGTGGCGGGTGCGTTAGGTGAGCAGACAGCTGCCTTACCGGTGTGATGGACGGGTGGGGCGCAGTGCGGGCCGGCCCTGTCACCCCCGCCCTCCCAGCAGTGCGTGTGAAGCGCAGGACCATACCAACCGCTCCGGGACCCGTCGGTCTGACCAAGTAGCAGAAGGAGCCATTCCGGCAGCAGTGAGACAGGTGTTACTCAGGTGACAGGAGAGAATGAGGCAAAGGCACAGAATGGAAGATTTCCCCAGTTTTAAGCTCATCAGCGTAAGAAATAAAGAAAAATTACACAGCCCCAGCCTTTCTGATGGTGATCATTTCAGATCAATTAAAAAAAAAAACAATAAAAGCATTCTGTCTCATCAATTAACTAAGTTAATGAGTTTATCCTTTTTTTAAATTCTATTTTTATCCTTTTTTATTCTTTCTGGCTTTATTACTTTTATATCAAGGATTAGCAGACCATGGCCCATGGATCAAACTTAGCCCCCGATCTATTTTTATATATAGTTTTTTTGGAATACAACCATGCTTGATCCCTTATGTATTGTTCATAGCTACTTTCATTCCATGATGGCAGTCAGTAGTTGGTGCAGAGAACTTATGATGAATAAGTTAAAAATAAGATGAAGAATTTATGATAAAGCCAAAAATATTTTCCACCACAGAAAGTTTGCTGACTTGTGAACCATTGTCACAGGTCAGTCAAGGCCATTCCCATTTCTTGGATTAAAATTCTAAGTGACATGGCAACGCTGGATAATATTTAGATAATAAATCTGCAGAAATAATTTAAATGTATTTTTAGATCTATATAATATGCAATCAGTCATATAACTATAGCCCCAAAGTCTTGAGCTATGGTTTCACATGTAACTGAGCATACTTGAGTTAAAACAGCCTTAGAGGAAAGTAGCTTCCCGGATGGCACAGTGGTCAAGAACAGGCCTGCCAATGCAGGAGGTACAGGAAACGTGGGTTAGACTTTGGAGAGATCCCCTGGGGTAGGAAATGGCAACTCATTCCAGTATTCTCGCCTGGAAAACTCCATGGACAGAGGAGCCTGGTGGGCTACAGCCTGAAGTCGCTAAGAGTAGGACACCGCTGAGTGCAGGGGACAGAAGGAACTTAGGAAAAGCACGTGGGGACCACCACTGTAAACGGCATGGAGAGCGGGGGGCAGCCCTTCCCTTCTCCAGGGGCTCTTCCTGACCCAGGAGCTGAGCCCAGGTCTCCCACACTGGAGGCAGATTCTTCACCATCTGAGCCGCCAGGGAAGCCCATAACAGGCATGTGGATACAGAAAAAATTAGAAGGCAGTTTTCAAAGGATTGGGGCCTGGGAAATACCTCAGTAATCATGCTGCCATAGTCAAATGAGCTCACCATTTACTGCCATATTCTTCCCAACTACAAAGTGATGCTTCTTTTTCCGTAGGAAATTTCTAGAATCCATGTTTTATCCCAAATGTATGACTCTGGCTCATTCAACAGGCAGAGAAAACTCCAAGGAGCAGCATCTGCTCCTGCACATATGCATTTTTGTTCCTACAATGTCTTGACTGGCCTCAGGCACAAAGAGATAGGTTTAGGTACAAACCCTGGGACTGCAAAAGGTCAGCAAAATGGCTTGCATTCCCTACCTCCACCTGTGTTTAAAATCCAGCCAGGACACTCAACTGCCCATTTCCTTCTGAAAGAGCTATCAGCATAGAATGAAGCTTTCTCCCTTGCCATTTCTGTGATTTTTCAGTATGTATTAAAGCAGTGCTACTGACTTTCCGTTTTTAGTGGTGAGACATATTTCATCCTGTGCTTACAAGTGTAACTTCACTCTGATGAACCCCTAACCTCTTGTGTGATCATTTCAACGTTTAGCAAAACCTGTGTGTGTGCACGTGCTCAGTCTTGTCCGATTCTTTGCAACCCCATGAAACACCAGGCTCTTCCATCCATGGAGTTTTCCAGGCAAGAATATTGCCATTTCCTACTCCAGGGGATCTTCCGGACCCAAAAATTGAACCTGTGTCTCTTGCATCTTCTGTACTGGTGGGCAGATTCTTTATCACTATGCTACCTGGGAAGCCTAGTACTTAAATAAACAAAAAACTCCCAGCTTGACTTCCAGATTTTGCTTTGATATGTAAACAGTGTGGACATCATCACCTCCATCCTTACAGCAAGAAAAATCTAGACAAATTGAAAACCAACCGATTCTGGGATCTATCAGAGAACTGACTTCACAGGGCGAACCACCACCATGAGATCTGAATGCAGAGTCAAAGATGAGATCTGCTTACCCCAAGTAAAAGCTACAGGAGCCAAAAATTGACAGTGACTTTAAATGCTAACCCTGATGATCTGCTAGAAGCTGAGTGTGGGCCAGCATGTGGGTAAGGAATCCTGGGGATCGGGTCTTAGTGGGGATCCCAGGCTGTCATGGCCTTTAAAAGCCAGAACCACCCAAGGTCTTCATGGCCAAGAACCCATGAGAATCTGAGAAGGATTCTCTCCTGACCTTGGCAAGACAAGAAAAAAAAAAATCATTGTGACAAAGGTCAGCATCTTCTCCATCACAACAGCTTGGAATGCAAGAAAAAAAGATTTTACCTGAGACCTGCCTTAAATAGGAGAAGGGGATTCCATCCACTCTAGCCCACTCCAGCCCTGTGGCCCAAAAAGCAATGAACTGAGCAACTAAATGAATAAATGTTGGGTCTGGCTTCCCAGGTTCTTTCATGGTAAAGAACCTGCCTGCCGATGTCATAGCCCAAAGTATGAAATAAACATCGATAATGAGATAAACAAATGGGTGGGTATATACATGTGCAGATATATACACAGGCTTCCCTGGAGCCTCAGTCGGTAAAGAATCTGCCTGCAATGCAGGAGACCCAGATTTGATCCCTGGGTTGGGAAGATCCCCGGAGTAGGAAATGGCAACCCAGTCCAGTATTCTTGCTGGGAAAATCCCATGGACAGAGGAGCCTGGCGGGCTACAGTCCATGGGGTCACAAGGATCGGACACGACTTAGCAACTAAACCATCACCGTATATATATACAAACGTTTGCACAGAAATGGGGAAGATTATTGGCCAGTCTCTCACACGGAAGAACCCCGAATAATTTACAGAATCCTCCAGCTTCGAGGAGATGGAATGAAACTCACTCTGTGAGCACTGGCTCCACAGAGGAACAACTCTCCGCAGAGTACAGTGTGGAATGTGGGAAGAGGTCACAGTCACAGCTGGGAACCCGGCAGACACCACCTAAGCCAAGGGACCCAGACCAATGTCAGCAGTGGTAGGTCAGCTTGATAGCAGGCACTCTAGATGTGATGTAATGGAAAAGGCACTCCACCTCGGTGGTCTCTTCCTCTCCAAACACATAACCCCAGTCTCGTGGTGAGAAAACATTAAACAAATCCCAGGTGGAGAACATTCTGCTAAATACCTAACCGGTATTCTTCAAAACTGTCAAGGCCATCAAAAATAAGGAGAGCCTGAGAAACTATCACAGCCACAAGGAGCTTAAGGAGATGTGACAGTCACGGGTAATGTGGTGTCTTGGATGGGACTCTAATGATGTTAGGTAAGTACTAAGGAAATCGGAATAAAATGTTGACTTTGGTTACATCAGGGCATCAATATTGGTTCCTTCATTGTGGTTAATGTATTAATAAGATGGCAACAATAGGGGAAATTGGGTGCGGGGTCTATGGGGACACTCTGCCCTAGCTTCACAGCTTTTCTGTAAATGTAATTTTTTTTCCAAAATAAAACCCTGTTTAAAAAAATCCCACTCAGCTCACCATAGAATCAGCAGCCAATATCAAATAAAAGCCGGTGTCTGCACAATTGTGCTTTTCATCACATCCACCCCCACTCCCCACTTTCTGATTCTTTCTGAAGAACCCCACCTCCTGACCCCAATTCGCACCTTTGCATATATAAGGAATCAGTACCTACGAACAGATTTAAGATCCTACTTCAAGTATATTTGGGGATATACAGTCTGACGTCTTTCCCCACCTCTCCATCAGAATTCTGCTTAGAGGATACTTAAAATGATTCCTAACACAGTGAGGTCCAGAACCTCTGAACTATTATTAAGGACCCAAGATCAGCAACCCTCAACCAAATGCAGCTTTCCAGTAGACAATATATTGGCAAATATGGACATTACAGAGCTGTCTGTCCCAACCCTCCAAGCGTAGAGGGGTTGTTGAGGAAGGGAGGGGTTTTGGTGGGGGGGGGGCATGGAAGAAAAGAGAAGCAAAGATGGTGGAAAAAGAGGAGAGGGGAGAAACTAGTTTCCCACACGGCAGAGCAAGTAGTTTCTAAGATAGCATTCTGTGCTCATTTATATTTGGGAAATTCTAGACAAATAAATAAATAAATACAAACCTAAACATGTTTCTTTAGGGCAGAACTTCTGGATCTTTTGATATGCTGATAAAAGGAATATCTAATACGGAGACATAGAAAGCAGCAGTTCCTAAACGTCTTTAATTATGGATTTTTTGTTGTCGGTGGTGGTGATGATATGCCTATTAGCACTGTGAGATTTGACAAAAGAGAATTTCAAAAACACTGTCTTAGAGGCATAAGTGACCCTGTGTCCCGATGACAATGTCACCACAAATATTTGATCGTAAATTACGTGTAAGACAATGGCACAGCTGTAAACCTGCTTCTCGGGGGCTACAGGTATGGACCTCCTACTTGCCTCCAGCCCCGTCTGTGAAGGATGGACATTCTCCGGGCTGGGTCAGGCGAAGGAGATGCACAAGTTAATTAGCTTATTTCCTTCATCACCCGAGTCAGCAGGAGACATAAGAAGTGCAGTGAAATACTCGAGTGCCTTCCTTTCCACTGATGCACAGGTTTCCCTAAAGCTTTCCTGCACCTCACTTGCCCGACGTGCAGCCAGCCTCCTTTGATGTGTTGTGGTTTCTCTAACTGGTCACTTACCTTATGGCTCAGATGGCAAAGAAGCTGCCTGCAATGAAGGAGACGCAGGTTTGGTCCCTGGGTCAGAAAGATCCCCTGGAGAAGGGAAGGGCTACTCACCCCAGTATTCCTGCCTGGAGAATGCCATGGACAGAGAGGTGGTGGGCTACA